AGGAAAAAGCAACATTTACAAAATAGCTCATTTTGTAACACTGACTCAGCCCATTTTATGAGCCAGTAGAGTGGTTTGGTTAAAAAAGATGCAGAATTAAAGTTGTTTTATGGACCAGATAAAATCAACAAGTCAACTTGTTTATATATACAGTGGAAAGGAAGACACAGAAGTACATATCGTGTGTATCAAAAGTGTTCTGATGCACAATAAAACTGTAACAGTGTAAACAAGCTAATAACAAGTTTACAGCTGTAGGTAAGATAAGGCTGAAGATTAGCCATGGGAAATTGCCACACCACAGTAAACAGAAAAAGAAGGGATAAAGCAATTTATCCAAGTGCATCAAAGCTGCCTATGTGAAATTCCACTTGGCTACTACTACTTTCCAACCATACACACATACAGAAGTAGCAGATGATGTTCCTCTTCTTTATAGTTTGTTACTTCTTATTCAATAGGCCCATGTTAGTTCAGCAGAACAGCAAACCTCGGTTGATAGAGGCTGGAATCTCGCTATAGATTACCAAGTCAGCTTCCTTAGTGTAGAAAGTTCTAATGCCAAGTAGTAAATTCCTGCTCCATTAGGAGCTGCAGTAAGATGATGATGTCTCATTTAAGATAATTTTCTGCTTTTCCTGGTAATTAGAGCCCCTTAAAAGCCCTCTTTCAGATTCTTTAATTCGAGTTGATAGTTACTTTCTGCAGAACGGTCACTGAATGAAAATCCCTTCAACAGAAGGTTCCATCATCTGAGTGACTATCATGATGGAAGTTCCTAATACACATGATGGCTAAAACTCAGTGAGTGGTGTATCAGTAAATGCTACATCAATAATAATTATGGCTACTGACTGCTACTAATTGCCCTCAAGAGTAGAGATATAAAACAAGCTTCCTGATTCCTGGCATTCTGCAATTGGATAAACATAATGGTATAAACCACAGGCAAAACATGAGGACTGCATGAGTGAATACTACAGTTACTCCCTTAAAATTTGTCTACATAAACTATGTCATGGCAACTTATCCAGCATTAACTGAATGGATTTGTTAAACTACACTGCACCTTTACTTTTATTCAGAATTTAGTTAGCCTTCATTTGGTTTGATATAAGTCATTCTTATCTGGTTTACTTTAGCAAAACAAAGGTGGATGGATAAACACCAGGAACAAAAAAGACCTCTTTAAACTGTTAAAAAAGTGGTCACTGCTAGTATAAGAGCAAATGGTATGAGATTGGGTTTAGAAGCTAATTTTTAACCCTCATAGCAACCATACTCTGGAACAGTTTTCTAATACAGTAATATGAGCAAAAGACCTAATTATTACTTTAAAGATAAAGCTTAATCAATTTATGAACCAGATTACATGGCATGCTTACAATAACAAGAGAATAGATTCAATAACCCAGAAGGTGCCTTTCAGGAAAGTTCCCATGATAATATTCACATACCTACTCTACTTCTCTCAAGATCTGCCAGAAGTACATAATTTACACAGAACATATCTTGCCCTGTAAAAATAGAAAAAGAAAAGTTAGCTCTTTCAAACTGAGCAGGTAGTCTCAGAATCACTAGCAAACACTTTCACATTGTGGTGTTTCTTCTCCCTTGTTTTATTTTTTTTCATTTGTAAAAGTAGTAATACCTTCTGGTCTCACAGGAAGCTGTGAAGGAATATTAATGAATATTTATAAAATGCTCAGTCAAGTGATGAACAGAATCTTCTCTATGAGGAAAGCGAAACAGATGTAGATGGTGTACAGTAAATAAAGGTTATAGCCACACACAGAGTAGAACAAATAAACAGCTGCCTCATTCACTGTGCATCCATCATCCTGTAAATTGAGTCAGACTGGAGTCCTGTCAGGAAACATATCTGAGGATCCTGTAGTAAGAGACTACCTTAGTGCAAAAGCACAACAGACAGCTTTAATTTTCACTGGCAAAATATTGGGGTTTCACATATAACATTGGTTAGGACTCTAAAAGCATCATTTAGCCAATGATCTTTTAAACAATAACACAATGTAATCTAAAATTTAAGGGTTTTGGTGAAATGTCTGCTACAGTTAAATTATCTGGGTTTACTGCAGAGCTAAGAGGAAAAAAGACAATCAAATTACTGGTTGATAATCAAGTCCCTTTCTGGCTACAAATTATGACTAATAAGCTACCACATCTTCAAAGATATTTAAAGCAGAGTGCATATCATAGTATATCACTATTTACCTGTACGCAGGTACTTCACTGACCTGATATAAATGCACCTTTACTCACTAAGCTGATTCAGGAGCATTCAGGCTGCAATAATGATAACCATCTACATCTTACAAACCCAAATCCCCTCTGGCACTGCTATTTATGTGGATTTGACACTGGAATGTCTGGGGAATCATACTCAGGTCCTTAGCATTTCATTACTTTGAGGTACTCTGGGAAGTGTTTCATGGCATGCTGTGACAAATTTCCCTCTTCCTTCAAGGTGTTTGTGGGAAAGTTTTCAGTCTGCAAGCATGTTTAGTTGACAGTTCCCATGATATAGTTCCTCTCTTTCATCTGTCCCAACCAGTGCCAATGTGAGCACAGCTGGAAGACCTGCTCATGCTTGTACTTGCAAGGTTATTGCAGCCATGAACAGATTGAGAGTTTGAAGAACACAGAAGACTAAAGAGCTCTCCAACTGTTCCCATCAATGTCTATCACATACCCATAGTTCTCCCTTTTCATGTGCTAGTTCAGGAGATAATATGAGAGACACCTGCAGGCCTCTCTGTCTAAAAAGGGGTATATACTTGTGGATAACACTCAGTGTTATTACCTCCACAGAGAAAAGCTATCAGTGGGATTTCTCTATCAAGCATTATCTCTGGTGACTATCTTCTCTGTAGTTACTCTTCCATAGGATACTCAGTAGGTGACAGTTTAATTACACTTTAGACATGCTGGATGATTTGCATGCTTGGGATCAAGTCCATTTGTACTACTGGACAGTACAAAAGAATAAAAATAGTACAAAAGAATAAAAGTGAAAACGTGTGTGTGATAGCTAAGCAAGCACCAGTAAAGCCTCTCACCCACCCAATCAGACCTACCTCTTCAAACAGCTCACATACCCTGCTTCAACACATCTAATTAAATTGCACAGTGCTGCACTAAGGCAGCTATGCTGTTTCTGGTAGCCAAGCCACCTCATTTATGGTTTGGCTGGGTATTTTTGCAGCACACTGATGTGCAGGCCTAATCAAGGCAACTGTTACTGCTACAACTGGCAAACAAGGGAAACAAAACTAGGCCTTCTGTAGCTGCAAGCTTATAGAATGGACCGACACGCATAAAAAATAGGAAATGTGTGACTCTGCATACAAATTATTTATGCCTCTGATGTGGTAACAGAACAGGTGGCTATTTTGTTAAAAGCTGCATGATCTTTTTCCTAAACACCTCTGCTAACCTGGATGTTCCAATAAATCAACATGTTAACCTATGAAATATTAAAGTAACTTTTCTGGCAGGCCTATTACCACCTTGTGTCTTGCAGCAGCTTCCTCTGCCCTACCCAGGCTTGCATCTTCTTTCCTACAGCACCTGAGCCAGCAAAGGTGGTAGATGCTGCAAAGAGAAAGAACTCTGTATCTTTTCCTGCCCAGAAGAATAAACGTACGTAATTTCAAGGCAGCTGTTACAGGCTTTTTTCATGTAGATGTATTTTTATTCCACCAATATGTTTCAAAACTCCTGCTTGGCATACAGGCACTTAAAAGAACAGACCATCAGCTGCTGTTCACTGAAACATAACCAAAGTGTTTTCAGTGTGTGGTCATGGGTGCAGGGCATGCTAAAATACAGGACAACAGAGGAAAACAACATCATACACATGGCAAGGAGAGTGCAAGCAATTACGGCAGCTCAGCACAGCCCTCCCGGTAATCTGTTAGGAGCTCATTGTTGATACTAGACAAGTGCCGGTAACTCCAGTCCACCTCAACAGGGAACAAGTAACTTTTTCTGTTTGTTTATGCTTTGTTTGGAGGCTTTATTTTTCATTCTTTTTCAACAGAAGATGGTCTTGGAGTAGGAATCCTCTCACTTTTGTGTAAAACTCCACCCTATTTAATCGTAAGGAGCAGCCTTCAAGAGTACTCCGGAAAGCAGTAAAAATGACAGCGTGAGGCTTTAAAAGAGCTATTGATGAAGTAACTCACACGATGGCAGTGATTTGTTTTAAGATAATTTGGGCAGTTTCTCAATAGACTGAGGCTTAGTTCCTAGAAAACAAGAGAGACTGTTTGCTAACCTTGATTAGCCCAGTGGCTAGAAAACTTGATGTTTAGACAGGCCAAGCTGCCTTCAGTGCCAGACTGTCCTGGCAAAATATCAAGACCATCAATTTCCCTGACAAGCTGTCAAGAGTGTCAGGTTCTGTCATAGCCGCACTCCTGCCACAGCCTCCATCTGCTGAGGCCTCAAGGAAAAGAAAACACACAAAAAGCCTTTAAACAATAACTGTCCTTTCGATAGGCAAGTGCTGCGGTCGAGAGAGACTGTAAAAGCAGCTCTGCTCATTTTTCGCGCTGAAAACTCAGTTCCTGAGCCTGGCAGGAGTAAAACTGCTGGTGCCTGGCCATCAGGGCACCCTGCCTGCCCGCAGCCAGCCGTGCTTGTCCCCGGCTCGGGGAAGGGACTTCCGTGGCAGTACCTGACCTCGCCTCCCGAACTGCCAAACAAAGGCCTGGCCCCTACAGCAGCGAGGAAAGCTTCCTCTCCTTTATCCGGAGCTGCGGGCTGCTGGAAGGGTCCTCCGCGCAGTCCGGCGCGGCGGGCCCCGCCTCAGCCATTCCCCAGGAGAGAAAGATCCTAGCGGGAGCACCGACGAGAGCGGCAAAACGCCGGCTAGCGCTAGTCTCGGTGCGTAAGACTCGGAGCGGTGCCGGGGAAGGGAGAAGGAAGGTGGAGGCGGGCCGGGGCGGTAGAGAGGCGCGGCGCAGCGCGGGGGGCCGGGCAGCACCGGCGGGGCGGGGCGGCAGCGCAAACCGGACGGGAGCGGCGGGGGTCGCGGCCATTACCCTGGGGTGTGCATAGTACCACCGGTAAGCCCGGGTCGGGGTCAGGTATGCAGGTTGCCTGCGGGGCCGGGTTCGCGGCTGGTGAGGTGGGAGGACAGCAGTACCAGGCTCCAGGGCCGTGACCTTACTGGCGGGAAACGTGGAAGCACAGGGCGTGGAGGAGCGCACTCGCGAGGAGGCTTTGGCGGAGCCACCCGCGTTGCCGTACGGCCGTGGGGACAGACGAGCCCGCAGGAAAATAGGGCTGCCTGCGGCTGATGGGAAGGTCGTCGCCGCCGGCCTTGACTCCACGGGCAGCCCGGAGCCCCCAGGACGGAGCCGAGGCGCGACGGCCGAGTTAGTGCTGCCGGGCAGGTGCCGCCCCTCGGCCTGAGGAGGGTGCGTAGCGCCTTGTCCGAGGCGCGGAAAGGCAAGGTCGTCCCCGGCGACCTGCCCGTTCTCACCTGCGGACGTGGAGGGAAGTCCTCTCTTGCTCACCGCGGGTGGCGTTTTGAAGGTATCAGGGGGCTGAGCCGGGCAAGGGTTGCGAAGGCCGAAACGCCCCCAGCAAAACCCGGCGGCGGCTTCGCGTCCGTCCCCTCGGCGGCTGAAGCTCGGTGGTACTGCGGCCGTCGTGGGCAGTGGAAGAAGGTGGTTTATGCTGTTAGGCTTTTAAATGCCCCTGCCCCTCCTTCCGCCTCCCCCGTGTATGTTAATCTCATCGACTAAGCTGCTCTGGAAGTAGATCAGAAAGAAAAGGTAAGTAAGATCTTGAGTCCGGCAACAAAAGCCTTTGTTTTAATAGTTCATTGTTTGTGGTTGGCAGTGATTGAGGGAAAGAGTGTAAGATTTTACATATTTACAGATTTATGTCAAGGAAGTAGACTTATGTCCATCTAAGTCACAGAAATGCCTGAAGCTTCAGAAAAGTTTGGAGGAGCGCATGGTGCACACGGTCAGTTACATGATTAGGCCACAATAACAATTACTGGGCTTAGTGATGAAAAAATGTTTGCAAGGATGGGAACAAAAAATCAAAGTTCCTAAAAGGAAATTATTTTTCTTTCAGAAGTACAGCTGCTGAAGTAAAATGTACTTTTAATATCAAAATTCCTAATATTTTCATACTAAAGTAATAGGGTATTCATGTCTTGCCAATGACCATAGTATTGAGAAACCTCTTATTTATAAAACATACTTATCTTCATATCATCATTAAGAGAGAACAAAATTGTCATTATTCCTGTTTTCAAAATGATGGATTGCAGCAGTGGCATGGTTTAACCCCAGCCAGCAATGAAGTACCAGGCAGCTATTTGTTCACTTCCCCCACTGTGATGGGGAGGAGAATTGGAAAAAGGTAATACATGTGGACTGAGATACAAAAAGTTAATTAAAATAAAGTAAAATATAAAAATAATAATTGTAATGAAAATTGAGAGAGACGAGTAAAGGCCAAGAGAAACAAGTGATGCACAATACTATTGCTCACCACCCACTGACCGATACCCAGCCTGACATAAGTAATGATCTGGCCTTCCAGGTGATTCTCCCCAGTTTATACACTGGGCATGACACGCTGTGGTATGGAATACCCCTTTGGCTAGTTTGGGTCAGGTGTCCTGTCTCTGCTTCTTCCTGGCTTCTTGTTTCCCTCCTCACTTGACAGAGCATGACAGACTGAAAAGCCCTTGATCAGGGTAAGCATTTTAGCTACAACTAAAACAGTGTTATCAACATTATTCTCATCCTAAATCCAAAACACAGCACTAGGAAGAAAATTAACTCTATCCCTGCTGAAACTAAGACAAGCAGAGAGGTATTAAATGCTTTCCCCAAGGTCAGAGCAGAATTTAATTCTCTTAACTCCTTTGCATGGCCCAAAAGCTGGTCTAAAGATATTGTTTTAGATTGAATATTTACTGTGGGCAGTGACTATTCAGAGGAGCAAAAGCTAGGACTGACAGACAAGGATCACATTTATTTGTTAACCACCACTACTGTGGGTGATGTGGATTTCAAAAGCGATAGCCACAGCTGATACATATTTCTAACTAAAACTAGACCAAAATCAGGATTGAGTGTTCTACATAAGTACTGGGAGACACTCATTCCAGTCTGATATTCCTGTCCCACTATCCTGTGCCAACATGAGTACTTTCACAGCTGCAAACTGAATCAGGAAATCAAACAATGTTATTGTCTTTTTGAGTTAGTAAAAGGTCTTACAGATCATTGAGTTGAACCATGTTCAGTAAGTACCAGATAAATTGCAAAGGATGGAGCAAAGCCAGAAGCAGGAGGTAGGAGATGCAAGAGCAGCTCCTTTCAGTGTTAGCTTTTAATTCAGTTCAGATGCTATCAGCACTGCTTCTTCAGTGTCTCAAACAGTTTTGAGGTTACTAGGGTCAGAATTTGAGCATTCTTAACCCCTGCTTTTTTTTCCCCCCTTCTTTTTCTCCTCCCTAGGCTCCTCTGTATTTTGACTTCATTTATAATAATTGCAATTTTAAAGGTTGAATTTGTAATTGAGCCATGATTTGCTGCAGGATACCTCTCTCAGGCCTGAAATATCCTCTCAGAGGCCCGTTCTATAGTAGTGCAGAAACTCTGTAGTGCTTAAAGTGGATTCACGGGTTATTCCTGTCAAATATCCCCAAGCAGTACACAAGTTTTATGTTCTAAAACAGCACTGTCATTTGCAGCCGGATTGTGTGTGAGGAAGTTGCTTTACTGGTTGCTTTACTGGTAGAAAATAGAAACTGTGCTTATGGACAGCAGTTGTTGCTGAAGCTAGAATAGAAATACACTGAATCAGCACAGCAGCATTGACAATCAAGGTGCTGCAGTATCACCATCCCTTTGCAATACACAGGTATCTCACATCTGTTGTAGATGTTGTTTCAGCTTCTTAAAAATCAGAAGACTGTATGTAAATGGTTCATATTTAAGATACACTTTCGGTAGGTATGATTGCAGTGTGCTTAAGGAAGGTTTAATCTGTTTTGCTAGAAAACAGTGAAGCTGCACAGTTACAGGCCTTGACATGAGCCATCTAATTCTGCAGAGTACTTGAAGACCTTCATGGGAATTTGTATTTTTGTGGCTTAACTGCTGTTAGTTATCTAGATACTAAGTAGCTCATGCCCACATATGTAGCATCCACATTTCTGGCTTCCAGTGTTGTCAGAGAAGTCTGGTACAACCAGAAAGTCTTTACGATAAAATCAAATGTAGTATATTCATTTAAAATAATCTGTGGAGGGTTGTTTTTTTTTAAGATTGGAGTTGTGTTTTTTCTGTCACCATATGTATAACCTCATTTCCCAGAGCCTTTGAAGAGCCGTAGAGCATTAAGCCTGGAAGCCTCTCTGGATGCCTTGGGAGTTTCTAGAACTCTTGAAGAGCTAGCTGATAATGTAGGTGCCTTAGAAAACCAGAAGAATAGGACCTAGTATTCTAGGAACTCAAGTACAGTTTCTTGCTGTATAGGAACTTTCAGTGTAAATTTCAATGACTAACCTAGATCTTGTCTACACAACAAAGTTCTGTCCCTTTAAAGAAATCACCATAGTTAAACCCCATTGATACTGCCAATATGGATCCATTTCCTTTAAAACTGCTTACTGTAACTTAGGGAGCATAAACTTGACTACAAAAACAATCACATCCTGTTGCATCATATGAACACCAGTATAAATTTTTTAACATGGCCCAGACCTTAGTCTTACTGTGAAATTAATGTGAATTCCACACATATCGAAGCCTTTACAGTGATTAAATGCTGCATGACGATAAGCTAAAGATAAACTTGTGAGGAAAAAAATGGTCATAAAAGTGTAAGACAGCCTGCAAGGTTTTAGTTTACAGTTTTGAAAGACCACTGTGGCCCATGAGAATGTGGCCCTAACCCAGCAGTCTTCACTTTTATTTTGAAACTGGTTACCTATAGCAGAAATACATGATTCATGTGAATTTTAAACCTGAAATTTGGTAGTGTATGATTCAGTTGTTCCTGTAGGTACAAGACTTGATTGACATCCAAAGTAGCTTTACCCAAGGTGGAGAAGATTTAGTGGTTTTATATACTGCTCTCATGCTGTAGCACATTAACCAATACTACTGCATGTATGGTTTATTATTAAATTAACTTCGGATTGACCTTGTGTCAGGACCTTGACAGTTCCTGGGTTTAAATGCAGCCTGCTGATTTTTTTTTACTTGTGAAAGAGCTGCCAGTGGCTGGCTTAATGTACTCAACAACCAACAAAACAACAAAAGACGTTTCCAAGAATAAAGCATTTCAAGGCTTTCAGGTTTCCAGCCTTGCCCATGCCAAGTCAGACTTTGTAGGTGGGAGTGCATGGTATGCATAAATACACTGCCATAGTATTTCACTTTTCATAGTAACATCTGCCTTCCACTTTAAATCCAAGAGTCCTTAACATTCCCTTTGTGAATATAACTCATAATATATGGTTGCAAATAACCACTTTTTTTTTTTTTTTAGAATCAAAATTTTGATTCCTGCAGGTTTTTGGCTGTTTGTCCCATAAATTGGCAGCACAAGCCTCTTATCCAGATCTGTTTAGCATATTAAGGTGTCTGCAGATTTCATATTGACTTGCAAAGACGTGTTCCAAACTTGTGAAATTGCATGTTACAGAGAAAGTAGCAAACCTTAGGAGACAAGAAGTATTTGTTCTTCAGTGTTAATTAATCTTTAGGCCATGGCTCCCTTAAGCTACTTCATTGTCTAATAGCTTCTGAGTTTTCAAAAATGACGAAGAGTTGTATTTAACATTTAGTCTGGATGGTTCTGACAGTGTACTCCAGTTGTAATGTAGCAATGCAAGTGTTAGTAAGCCTGTGCAGTAACGCTTACCAAGAGGTTTAAATGTGACTTTGTCTGGATCAAGGATTGTCTGCTCTTTAACAGCGTGGTGTAGCGATACCTCCATCTGGGTTAGCATTTTTTGTCTTCCCTGGTCGCCCCAGAACCTCAGACCTGCAGAATATCCTGAAATATTTAGGAAGAGAGCTAA